CGAACAATGCGCTGCTTGCTGCGCGCGCGACAGTAAACGCGCAAATAATAAATAAAAAAAAAAGAAAAGAAAAGAGAGGAGAGGCGAGGGAAACGCTTGGGCGTTTCGAAAGCGTCGACCTCGCTGGCATAGAATTTATAGGTAATTATTTTTTCTCGACGTACCCGGCCCGTTTGTCGTCGTCGAAGATGAGATGAGAGGGAGGTGGCGCGGGAGGATCGCTGCAACGGGAGGAAGGGTACGTAATAGGGGCTGCGAATGAGCCTCGTCAAGCGAGAATCCACGTCGAACGGCGACTGCCATTGGGCGTGGAAACTAAAGCCAGATCGTGTCGCGGATGCGGGTGTACATTTTCTACGGGATCGTATCCACGGAGAACAGCGGAGACCCCACCGAGATAGAGGGTGAGAGAGAAGGACGAGGAAGAGCCACTAACGGTAGGATCGCGGATGGAGAACGACGAGGAGGAGAAAGAGCGGGCGGAGGCGAAGGGGGCGAGACGGTGGAAGAGACGGAAGAGGGTGAGGAGGACGCGCGAGAGAGAAGCGAGGGGTTGAGGTATATAACGCGACAATTGCCGGATGCGACCGTTCGTACGAATTGCACGCGGGGAACTTAGGTACCGTGTACGTGAATCTCCGCGAGGGGGATGCGGGAGGCAAGAGGGAGAGATGAGCGCGAGGAGGGCTGGAGCGCGAGCGAGGGTGAGGGATTGTATAGATACGTCCCTGCGGCGGTGGTTTGTAATATTATGATAACCCTCTCCCTGCCTGCGCCTGGCTTCCTCCCTTCTTCTCCCTCGCTCTCCGTCTATCTCGCTTTCTCTCTCTTCCTCTCGCTTCCCTCCTACGCGTACACCAGGCTGCCAGGCGGCCACCCTCTTTCAGCGGCCATGTTGCCGGGAAATATGATTATTGTTATTATTTGCACCCTCCTTCGGTCGTATCCTCCTGACTCCTCACCTCTTCGTAACAGCCCCGTCATTCTACCGGAGTAGCTGCCTCCGTTTTCTCTCTTCCTCTATCTCTCTCTCTCTCTCCATTCTTCCCTCTTTTTCCCTCTTTCTCTCTATTTCTCTCGCGCGGCATCCACACAGTCGTGCCATCCTGCGTAATGCTTTCCAGTTCTCTCCTGTACCTCCCTTCTCGTCGTGCGAATCTCTCTCTCTCTCTTTCTCTCTCTCTCTCTCGCTCTCTCGCATCATCCTGCGACTCCATTCTCTCGCACTCCCGTTCTTCGTGTGTAGATCTCTCTCCGCTGCCGTTAGCCGACGAATTGAGAGGAAACGAACGAGAACACAGGGTCGAAGCAACCGCCCGTCAACCGAAACCGTTTTCCTCTCTCTCGATCCGTTCCCCTTTCGTCTTTCATCCGTGTCGTCCTTTCTGTCGTCCTTCCTGTCGTTCTTCATCGTTCTCTCCCTCTCGCCGCGGTCGCCTGGAAAACTTTACAATGCGATGTGCCATCCCCGCGTCGCACTTTTCGGCTCGCTGTACATCTCTCTTTCTCTCCGTCTGCGTTTTTTTTTTTATCACTCTTTACTTCTCTCTTCATCTTCTCGTGGTTGCGCGCAAGCTCATTTTTTCCCGTTCATTCTCGCTTTCTCTTTCCCTCATTGCTCCTCCCCAGCTTTCCGCGCGTGGTTCATTCCAACTCGTCCCTGCGGAAACGTTTCATCGACCGAGACCGCCATTCTCGGCTTTTTTTCCTTCAGGCTTTTTCTCGCCTCCTCGAACTTTCTTCGCGCGTCTAATATCAGGGTTATTTTTTAATGGTCGAGAATCACGCGTGAAAATCGTCGAGTCGCACGCGTTATATCGTTGCTTACCAGCAATGCAAGATTACTTGACATTTATCGCAAGAATCAAATGACATTTGTCGCACTTCAAAACGCCACATTTTTACGCGTTATTTAAATGTAGAAATTTTGGAGCACGATACGTTGCGTATTACGTTTTGGCATAATTTCAAATTTTCTCATCTGATATTTACCTAAGAGATTAATTTTTCTTCGTAGCGTTATATATAAAATATCACGTTATAATTTAGTTTCGCTATTTTTAATCCTCTGGAATGTATACTGTTTAATATTTTAATTTAAAATAGCACGTGTGAGTGTGTTGCTCATGATGCGAACAATGGTGTGACTTTTCGTGATACGAGCGTGTATGAGCTAATTATCCCACGGTGGAAAAATAAATACGCAAGTTTTCGTTGCGCCGGAAATTTAAATGCATTTGAATTTTCAACGCACATTTAGCTAAATGTAGCCGTCTAATTCTCATTCGTTATCCTATTTCGTCATTTACATCGCGATTTTATAGGAGAAATTCAAAGTTCGACATGTTTAATGTTGAATAAAAAGGGATAAGAATTATAATTTACAAAAGAAATTAGAATCATTGGCGAGAAATGCATAATATGCGTTTCCAAAGCGTAACTTGCCGATATAGTTACCACTTTGTGGCTTTCGCATTCTAAAGAAAATTGTTCTCGCCTCTAAATAGGTAGAAGCGGTAGTGAGTTTCGGATAGACGTAGTACACGTAATTCGCCGTAAACTCGCTTAATCGTGTTATTCGAGTCTCTCGTCGTAAACCGCGAGCGTGGATATGTAATGGCAACGTTAAAGGTAATAAGGACCGTGTGAGATACTCGAGATTGTCGAGAGTAAAGATACGAAACAAAGGAAATGTCATGCCAGGTATTTGTAGGAGAACAACAGCGCAGAAATAAACGGTGGAAAAGAAAAAAAAATTGAGAGAGAAAGAGAGGGATTGATGGTTCAATCACTAATCTCATAATCGCAGGTAATAATAATAAATAAATATTAGCTGCTTATTTAGAGAAGTGTTCCATCACGGAAATCTAGCTCATAGGGACGAGAATAATTCTCCGTAAACTCAACTAATCGTGTTATTCGAGTCGAGAATCGGCACGCGCGTAGTTATGTAACGATAGCGTTAAAGCGTTAATAAGGATCGCGGTGCTGCTTTGAAACAGAAACGAAGAAACGAAGGTAAGACGGCCGGTAGACGTCGAAGGTGGTAGCAGGAAGGAAATAGGGCCGAAGGGTGGAAAACGAAGGGCGAAAGAGAGCGTGGGGTGAAAGCGGGGGCGGTTGGTCTTTCGGTCGTGGTAGTCGCGGGAGTCGTGGTAATAAATGGGCAACACGAGCGCTTATAAGGGGTAGGTAATCTAAAGCTTTCGAGGCGGTGGCTGCCGAGAGAAAGGGCGGACGAGAGGCGAGAGCGGCGCTAAGGGGTGGAGAGGAGGGCAGCGGGGGTGGATGGCGCGCGTAGGGTGAGAGGGTCTGGTTGGAGGAAAGCGTAGCGGAGGAAGGGGTGGATAAGGGTGGTTACGGGCGAGAGTGTGAGATAAGGTATAAGGTGGGTAAGATGGCGGACAATTTGCCGCTCGACTACTCTTGCCCGCACCCCTCCCTGGACGATTCCGACCTCCACCTCCTTCTGGTCTCCCCCTTCCCGGTCTATGTACCGGGTAATAGATGTTCTCCTCCTTCACGACCAACGCGGAGACGCTGAACGCGCGCGCAAAAGCGTACAGCATCCTCCTTTATCTCGCGCCTGTTCTTCTCTCGCCGCCGCCTTTCTCCCTCGCGGTAAGACAGCGGGAGGGAAATCGGGGAGACAGGCTCATGAACGTGCGTGACGGTGAGAATTGCGCGTGCACGTCAGAGACACGTATTACATACACGACCGAAAGTTGCGGCCGCCTGATTCACCTACACGAAAAGTACGCTGCTCCAAAGTACAGTCGTTCGTAGATACGCAGGTATTTAAACGTTCTCCACACAGAGTCACCCTCTGTCTGTCCCTCCCCTCCTCGTCGCCCCCTCGCTGCCACCCCTATTCCTGCCTATCGTCCCCGGTCCCCGGTCGCGACGTTTCCATCGGCGCCCCCTAGTCGGCAGACCGCACCAGCGTGCTCTCTCTTAGCATTCCATCCGCCATCTTCTCACTTAATAAAATAATTACCCTGGACCAATTAAGCGTTCCCCTCCACGTTCGTTCGCTCCTCTCTATGCGGGACGCTGCGCGCATTTTCCACGAGCGGTCTTCGGCGGGATATTAACGCGGCACGTTATTCGAGCGTTTATTCGTTATCACTTTGGCGGGATTTACGAGCCGAGATCCTAAGGAACGTCGGCTAATTGGCGCGTCGCGTTTATGCGCCGCGAATGAACTTTGTCCTCATTATGACGAGTGCCGCAATAAGATGTACGCTCTTGATCGCGCGACTTTGCGCGCTCTGACGCGAGACGCTAATTTCTAAGACGCTACGATGCGACACATTCTGATGAAATTAAATTGCGTATTCGTATAACTACATGTTCGAAGCGTTAATGAATTGATTTATTAATAAGTATATATATTATATAGTCAGTTTACATAAAAAAATATGAATAAATTTTTGATTGCTCTCGTCTTTAATTTACCTCGTATTAAGGTTTTTGAATATTTCTTCAAGATATATATATATATATATATATATATATATATATATATATTTTTTTTTTTTTTTTTTCAAACTTAAACGATATAAATCTATTTTTTAAATTTATCTTGAATCGCAAAGATTTAATGCATATATATATATATATATATATATATATATATATATATATATATGCATTAAAGATAAATTTAAAAAATAGATTTATATCGTTTAAGTTTGAAAAAAAATTAATGCTTATACTTTCCTCAAATATCTAGATAAAAATATATACATATTTTGCAATATTCAATCTTCATCTAATATTCCAAGTGTATAAAATATTCATTTTTAAGCTGTACCTTAACAATCCCTAAAAATATATTCTATCATATGTTATAAATATATAAGTTTCAAAGTGAAATTTATAAACTTTAAAATGAAACGAGAATTTCGTCGAGCAATTTTCCTCGAGTTACCAATAAAGCAAATTTTGTTAAATTAATTCAAGATTGTGTTCAGAGATGGCATCACGTAAAGTCGGCGTAGTTCCATTTAATTCAAGATGTCTACCATGATGTTTGCATGTCGTGTTTTCGGTCAAGAGGTATCTAATTTCGTTAGTTCCACGATTTCGGTGTTTTCTCAAGTACCAAGAAGATGCAAATATCAACTCGTCAAGAAACCAAAAATTGGCGCCGGCAAAGCTTTTAGAAGAATTGTCCATTTCGAAGACAAATACACGGTGAAGCCTTTGGAGATTACAAATTTAGGAGGAAGGGATCCTGCCACAGGTACGTGAGATAATATCATTGTTGCAGTATCTCGTACTTTTTTAGATCTTAAATTGATATAATATTTGAGATTTATATTCACAAATTAATAAGGATAAGTAATCAATATACATATAAATGTACACATTGCAAAGTTACATGAAAGATAAGTCTGACCTCTGTTGACGAAAAGCAAGAAATTGCTGCAAGATAATATAGGTAGCTTACACATCGACTTCTGTCAATGTCGATTTTGACATATCAGTGCTTTACCTTATTAATAAAATAAAAAATAAATTTAATAAAATAAATGTACGCAAAACATATATTGGTATAGTATGAAATACAATGTATTTATATTATAAACGAAATAGAGAAATTAATGTATTATTAATTATATGACCTTTATGAGAATAATTTTTTATATAACTTATTTTGAATAATCACATTAGGATCAAAATTAATCTTCAGCACTTGAGATAAAATAATATTATATAATACTATGTATTTTATTTTATTATTATTTAATGTTATTTTGTTATTTATTTAATATTATTTTGTATATAATATAATAATATGTATTATAATAATATAATAATATGTATAATAATATAATAATATGTATATGTAATATATAATAATATGTATTATATAATAAATAATAAATACCCCAATAGCCAAGTCTGCTAAAGCAGATCTTGTCAGGGAATCTGTTACAAATTGTTGTCGACAGAAAGATTACAGAATCGATGCAGGTTCTGATATATCATGTGATGTCGGCAGAATGTCAACAGAAATATAACAAAGCTTGTTAACATAATCAGTTACCAGATTGGCAGCAAAAATCGAACAGATTCTGCCGGCATAACTTAGTGGCAGATTGGTGGCACAAAATTGAACAGGATCTGTGCGATGCAATTTGACAACAGATTGTCGGCAAAAATCGAGCAGGATCTGCGCATACAATCTCTGATAGTAGATTGATGGCAGAAATGGAACAGGGTTTGCATGATTCGATAGTTCCTTCACTTACCGCTACGTGAGCTGTACTTTTCGTAATTGAATTTCTGTCAGAAATATATATAAAGTCGCGAATATGAATAAAAGACTAAAAATATAGTAATTATCATTTTAATTTCTATCACTTTAATTTCTGATATCTGATACAAGCAAATGAGAGTCAGAATATTAAACTGATTGGAATCAATATGATAAATGAAAAATTATTCATGTACTGCCTATTTGAGGTATGAAGCAAGAATTTAATTCTAAATATAAAAAATTACATTTCAAGTTTTACAAGTTACATTTACTTTTATCATTTACTTTATTATTAATTTAATTAAATTGAATTAGTCCTTCGCTATATGAGATATAACTACGATATAACATATTACATATATGTTATTTTCTAAGAAAATTCTAATTAACTTGCCGATAATATTGTTATTTAGCACTTGTAATAATCAGTTTTGTTGCATTTATATAACATTAATAAAAGTAAGCGCAAATCTTGTACAGTTTCTGCTGTCAATTTGCCATCAGGTTGCATGCGCAGATTCTGCTCGGTTTCTGCTGACAATCTAACATCAAATTGCACGCGCAGATCCTCGATTTCTGTTGTCAATCTGCTGTCGGTTTATGCTGACAGATTCTGCTAGCAGAAACCCAAGCTTAATGCGGACGCAGTTGATGCCAATCTGCCGCAATATTCTGTTTGAATCTGCTCGCATGCTGCTGGCAGACTGCTAACATTTTGCTTACTGGGTATTAGTTATATAATAATATATATTATAAATATTTGTTTTGCGATCAATTTTGCAAAAATATTGCTAATTTTATTAAAGTATTTATTTTTGTTTATTTGAAACTTAGTATAATTATAAAATAAAGAAAATCATTTTTACATTATTGAAACAGGTAGAGTAGCGGTCAATGGAATTGGAGGAGGTATAAGACACAAATATCACTGGATCAAGTGGATTAGAGATGGACCTACAGATCTTAGTGAACCACCAAAGGAGGAGAAAATCCTAGAGATTTTCAAGGATGGTAATAGAACGAGTTTCGTTGCGTTAGTCGGTTCCGGACGCGAAATTAAGTATATTTTAGCTACCGAGAACATGAAGCCAGGTGACATAATACGTACTCATCAAGGAATACCGCGTAATCCTATAAGGCCTTCGGAGGGAGATGCCTATCCCCTCGGTGCTTTACCCATAGGCACCCAGATTCATAATATAGAGAAATATCCAGGACAAGGTGGATGGTACATTCATTCTGCTGGCTCCGTTGCAACGATATTAAGAAAAGAGGAAGATCGTGTAGTAATACAAATGCCAAAAAGAAAGACTTTTAGTTTACACGAGACGTGTATGGCTACGGTTGGTCGATTATCGAATATCGAACACAGTTCTACACCGATTGGAAGCGCGCAAAAAAATCGGGAATTAGGAAATCGACCGAGAAGTGGATTGTGGCAGCGTAAAACTGGTAGATTTGGTCGTAAAATCAAACCGCCCCCTAAAACAAAACGTATCAATGAAGGTAGAGAGGAAAAACCGGAAGTTCTTGTTTTTAATTCCAAGTACAATGCTTAAGCTATCGTACATCGACAAATCACAGTTACGGATAAAGATACACAATTAAAATTTATTCAGAACACTAAATTGTTTATTTTATTGTCTTTCTCACCCGTTACCCTTTCTCTCTGCATTCTGAATCTCTTACATGTCTCTTATATATCTTGAAAGATTCATTACATATATGTATGCAGGCCAAAATGGAAAGGGAGATATGTACGTAATTGTTTGGACGTATACGGCTAAGAGAATGTGCTTATGAATCGTAGATCAGAGTGCTTAGAAAAATCTAAAGAATCTTAGGTAATTTTTTGCCCGAAAAAATAAAAAAAAATCTCAAGGAATTTTATCTCGGGAATAATTTAGAGAAATTTTCGAGTAATTCTTAACGCTTTTTATGATTATATAAGTTAAAAACGCTAAAAAGAGCACAAAATAAATTTATATTAAATTTGCATGTGTAAAATATACTTTAATCTTACATAAAAACTAAGAAAAAAATACTTGAAAAATCAGAAAATTTTTTTTAAGATTTAAATAGACACTCTGGAACGATAGTATCCTCGTAAATTTTCATATTACCATCGTTGAACATCGATCATTTACGGAAATATAAATTATTTATAGCAATACCAACTGTTTATGTAATTGTTGGAAATCATTGATGATATATTTGCGCTTTCGAATGTTGTATTTGTGGGAATGTTTCGTGTATACCTGAGTTTCAAGAGCAAATTTGCGTCATTGAATCATTGATAAAAGTATTCGAATGGGGATCCTGCCCCGTATTATTTAAAGGCCCTTATTGTAGTAAACAGTTTCTAGACTGGAATCGCGCGAGCGTATTTGTTCTTGCACGTCGGGTTCCAATCGATTTACGGAGATAGCGACGCGTTGTGCGAAAAGAGCGCAGCAGAGCGGCGTCGCGAAAGTGAGACATACTCCACAGATTAGAACTTGAATCGGTCCGGCAGCCCATTTCGCGTTACGTAACAATTGCCTTCGATCTAAGTAATTCATTACTATTGGCGCCAATACTGCAACAATAAAATAATATGTTGTGCATCATATGATCTGTAGATCCACACGTTTTATTGTATTATTTTGTTATTTTTTTCAGTTTGAAGAACCGATAAAAATTTAGATTTATATAAATAATTATGTATAATAAATATAGTTCTTCGTATATATAATTTTTGCATAATAATAGTATATCATATAAAATTAAAAAAAAATCTAATCGCCAAGTGTTAATTGATAACGTAATTAGCTTTAGTTTATAAATATTATAAACGAAGAACGGCAGCTTATCAATTGCTTATCACATTCATGCATATAGTTCAGATACGATTGATTGAGAAATGTTTATTAAGAAGGTCAATTAATGAAGCAAATGTAGCAAAACCTACTCATGCTCGGCGAGGCCATAAGTATTCGCGATAACGTTACAGACGTGATCGCCTGCTTCGCCGCACGTTTGCTGTTACCGACTTTCGTGCCGTCCTCGGTTTGTAATTCGATTCCATTTTGGAGTTCGGTAATCCTCATCATAGGGATGTTCACGCAATTAGCCGCAGCGACCGCAGCTAATGGCACCAGCCGGCCTGCCAACGGTGGTCCACGTTGAGCAAGACGGTTCAAAGTCAACGCCGTTATCACAGCACCTCCCGTGGCGCCGACATAACTTCGTGCTAACGTTTCCGTGGGAATCGGACTCGAGCCACTGCGGTTTGTGTAATTTACTATGGCATTGAAGGACTGGTTGATCCATTGCCAGAAGATTACAGCTGGCGTTGACCTACGAGAATTATGAATGTCTTTCGATAACAATATAAATTGCCAATATAAGAACGTAAACACATCTAAACGAAGAATCTTCCAATACGCAATAATCTTTTCCAGTGTCTTAAATGTTTTGATTGTGAACTTTGTACTCTTGTGAAGTAATTATGTTTGAAATTTAAAAAAAAAGCGAAAGCCCTTTAGGTCATTTTTACGAAGAATATCATTAAAAATTATGATGAGTGCAATGTGATAAGAAAATTACATTATTAATAATATAATAATCTATATTATTATCGCTTAAGATTAGTCTACATATTTTGTTAAAAAGTGTTCGGAGTAGAAAGAGGTCGGAGTATCCGATGCTCTTAACGATAATTTTACATGCGTCGACGTTTTGAATACGTACTTATAAAACGTCATCATACAGCCAGTTATTATCATATTCATGGGCACTTGAGCGCTCATACGCCCAATTAATAACATTTTTTCGCCAGTATCGGGATGATAGGCGCTGTCGTAAAGATATTTGCAATTCCATAATTCATCCGCGATGATTCCTTGTTTTTCTAGGCTCTCGCCCTGTCTGCGACCATAAAAAGTAACACGAATTATTATTTTTATAATGAAGAACGAAGAACGAGAAAAAAGAAACAGATATTAAATTACATTCATATAAAAATAGAAAAGAGCAGAATTTACAAGAAAACTTGATTAAATAAAAAAAATGAAAATTAAAATAGATGTCTTAAACGAAACTATTTATTATAATTCCTCTTCGAACATTTCAGCAAAATAATTGACAATTTAATTGAAGACTTAAGAAAAAGACTTAAAGAAAAAAATAATGACGTAATAATATTAAATACATAATATCACACGTGCTGTTTTACACGTGTAGCGTGACACGATGGCAATCTGCTGATTATACACATTCCAACAGAGAGACGGAGAAAAAAACTAATTATAGCAACGACTACCTGTACTTCGTGACGATGTTACGCGCATGTTCGAGCCGTTGGTTCGAGGCGAAGACATTGAGCGGGTTTGTCACAGTCAGAAAGTGCAATGCCCTTCCTTGATACGTGCTCTGATCCCAGTACGGTCTTTCGATATCTATCTTGTCCTGCGCCGCTATTTCCTTTTTTTCCGACATCTCTTCGTGTTTTCCTGCGATCAGCCGCTGCCTCTCTTTCCCACCTGGATTCGCCTTCTCCCCACCTCACCTCTCTTCTCACCCTCTCGGCGACGTTAGAGAGTCGTCGCCCTTTCTTCTCACCTGCAGAGAGTCCGATAGCCTCCAGGGAGACGGCATACGGTGACGGTTTATCCACGAGACAGGCTGTTCACCCAGCTACCAGCCGACTGACCCGCTCCAGAGTCCAGCCGCTCTGGTACTCCTCTCTCTCTTCGCTCCCATGCTGGGTATCGTTTCTTCTCTTCGCTCCCCTCGTTCGATCCATCGGCTCTCTTTGCCTCTTGCCGCGCTCGACTCTCATCGATAAGACTGTTGTGCGCGCGCACGAATCTGCCACCCACGTATCTGCTTTTACGAATTTACCACGAGATGGTGGCACACGGAGAGATTTACCTGTTCCTCAAGATTGATAAGAATATATTTGATAATGAAATCGTAATTTGAAAAGAGATTTTTAATTTTATGTGTTAATTTTATAGGAAAGATATGAGCGATACACGTAATGGGATATTTAAAAAAATTTAATGAAAAATTTAATGTCATAAAGGAAAAAGGAAGATTTAAAAATTGTTAAATTAATCTTAAAAGAATTCTTTTTATTAATTTTGTTATTTTATTAGCATTGCATTATTATTATTTTGATGTTGCATTTCTAAAAAGAGTGATAATTTAAATGTATAATATTAATTTAAAGTGGAAAACATGATGATATTAAAAGATCAGTTGTCATATAAAGTCTCTTCCAATCAGTTTCTAGTTAACTTTTGATTAGGAAATAATAAACAGAATATTTTATATTTTAATAAAACATAGATAGCTAATAGCTACTGATCAATTTACTGATCAATTTGTCTAATTCTTGATTACTTATTGGTCCAAAAATAATAACCAGAATATTAAAAAAGCTTCGAAAAATCTTTTACTGATGCTAGTTATCATTTATCAATTCGTTTGGCTTATCTAGTTTCTGGCTATTTTTTGTCCAGAAAATACCTTTTTAACAGCACCATTTATTATAAAATTAAATTACGTACTGATTAGTAGCTAACCATTTAAATAAGATTTTATCTTAATAGAATTCTGTAGTCTTGGACAGTTACTGTTCAGTAAATTTAAAGTCTGTAAGAACTGATAAGTTTTTGATATGTAATCATTTTTTTCCAGACATTTTTCTATTGAAATGTTATATTATATTTTAATATTGCATTTTCAAGGAAATGATATAATGTAGATCTAATATTAATTATAAAATGAAAAAACGTGATTGAAAATCAAGATATAAAATTTTTTACATATACTTGATTTATTAATTTAATTTAGAACATTTTTATAATACATTATAAATAGTATTATGAATAGTATGCTATATTATTACGAACAGATAAAGTAATAACAGGTTTGTCAATTGTATTTGCATTTTAGTCCAGTTTGTGACTAAAATTCTAATTATATAATCATTTTAACATATATTTTATATAACATCTTCAAATTTTTAAACATACAAAAGCTTAAATGATAAATAATTAATGATTATTTTTAACATAATATTTTTCACACAGTTTAGTTAGTTTATTTTAAATATACTTTCCTGCGAATCCGGACGAATTTTTATATAAGAGTTCATAATCTTGATATTACATTAATATCTATAATATAATATTATTAATGGTAATATACAATATTATTTTTGTATTGACATCTATTATAATGAATAATGAGCACTGTTATCACCATGTGACTGTTTTGCATATTCAAATTTTTGAATTATAGATCTCTGATTTTCTCGAACAAGTTTTCTGGGACAAGAAACTCACTTTCAGGGCGATAACATCGCTAACTAATCTTGCTAACTCGCGAACATGGTATTAAAGAAACTTTTATTGCCATGAACATTCTTTAGAATAATAGAATGATAGTCGAGCATGTATTTCCTGTGTTACAAGATTATTAATTTCACTTTCTCTTAATTATATCATTTATGGATAACGAGAATACTTAATAGCTTAATACATGTATATGCATTATATATGTAGCATTATATATAATTAATGTATATGCATTATATATGTAGCATTATATATAATAATAAAAATAATAAAAATAATATAATAAGTGATATAAATAATTTTTTTTTACATTTAGCATATGTCAGATCAGTATATCTTTTTATAATTGATTTTAATAATTAAACCTTAATAAAATCTTAGTTGAGTCTTAATAAAACATAATATGTTAATCAATTTGGTTTTCTGTAGAATATTATTTATGTAATTATATTAGAAAAAATTATATTAATATTAATATTAATATTAATATTAATATTAAGGCTAATAAAATTTAGGTCGAAAAGAGATATAAGAAAGAGATAGGAATATTTTATTTTTTAAGTTTTTTCTCTGCACAAGATTTTATAATAAATGTTTCTATATTAATTGTTAGAAAATTAAATATTATTATGTATGATATCTAACACCAATCTAGAAACTATTATTTTATATTACAGAGAATAAGGAAGAGAAGAATCTATGTCAAGTGTGATTTAAATGAAGCATAAAAAGGTTAAATGTACAATGGTTGTAATCTTGTGAGAGATTATATAGAATTATTTCCAACTTATCATGCAAATCTGCCATTGATACTTTAATTACGACTTTTCTCTTATTAACAAAGGTACTATGTCAATCGCTGAGAGAAACGAGCTAAATCATGTAAAATTATTATTAGCTGATTGACATATTTTTTTGGCGCTATATATTTTAACGAATGCCCGATCGTTCACCAAACTTTCTAAATCGCTTCGTCAGGTATCATACTACTTGACTTGATTTTAATGATGCAATTTAGGTTTATTGCTCTAACTGTAATTTTATCCTTAGTTAGTTTAATTATGCGATTTCATTTTTGTCTGAAAGATATATTTTGATTTTAGAGTGTCATAGAAAATTATTTGCATGCAAAAACAATACCTACAAAACGAAGTCAACAATTTTAATTAACAATGCTTATACTTGATTAAACTAGGATTTTTGTCGATACACATTTTTAATTACATATCTGCAATACGGTAATAATTTTTAATATTTCATTAGCGGCATCTTTTGTAATTAAAAAATAATTAATTTTTGTTTTAGAAAGGTATGTCATACGTGATATTTTATCAAATTCATCAATAGCAATGAAATAGATTGTCCCATATAATCCTATCAGTACTAATTAATTAAACATGATGGCTACATTGCGATTTTTGGTCGAAATGTGGAAAAATGAAAAACTCTTTCGACAAAATTTAGTTGCTTTATATTTAAAGCATAAATTTTGTCAGCTATACATTTAAACTGTCAATTATTATACAAGGCAATTTCAAGAAATTATTATTTTCTACAAGGTCTTTATCATATTAATTTTATAGTAAACATATTACGAGAAATCGAACTGCCCACACGGAAAAATTTATCTAATAGATATCTAATAAATGTCTAAATGTCTATTTAGTGTCCATGGATAATTAGTACATATCTAATAAATGTACAAAATATTTATATCTCCTGAATAACTATCAGAAATATTTATCAAATGTGTATATTTGATCTACATATTCATGTGTACTAAATAGCTACCAAAGATATCCTCTACATGTACACATGTTATCTACATATTTACATTTATTCAAAAAAAACGAGGCCACTAAATTTTAAAACAATTTTTTAACATTTTTCAATAGCAATAAATTAGCAAAAAATCACTATATTGAGATGAAACACAGATCAACCTAAAATTTTAACTTTCTCTTAAAAAGCAGAAAAAATCACATTTAACTTGCAACAAATGTTTTACAAAATGACATTGAAGCTAGACTTTGAAAAATGGGAAATAATTTTTTTTAAACTGTTGCATTGCTCAGAAGAATCGGTTTCCTGATATAAAAATGAGTTTTTTTAAAAGCTCACTTATTTCCTAACAAATCCATATTTTAATTTTCTATGATAAAGAACGAATCCATATTTCTATGATAAAATTATATTGTTTTGAATAAAATATTATAAAATCAACAATCTTAGAAGGATAAGGTATACATGTCGCGTAGAATGGAATGCAAAATGCAGGATCAATATATATTTTAAATATAAGAACAAAATGGTATAGAAAGACTGATACATTTCATAGATATTAGGTAGTTGTATGTTAATACATATACTTGTAATATAAAATAATTTAGGGAAAATTACTAGGAATTAGTCAAAATAAAACATTATGATATATTGATTTTTGATTTTGTTATGTAAAATATTTTCGTAGCATTATATATATGTATGTATATATTTAGAGAAAAGATATTATATTTAATATTTAATATTTTTATTATGTTGATGTTTTTAATCGATTACAGAATAATAGCTAAATTTAGCAAAAATTATTCTTACAAGAAAATCCAGAATAATACTTGCTTGAAAGAAGGAAGTAGTATTCATGCATTAAAGCGATAGTTTTGCTCGCGAACGATAATTACAAAGCAGTATTTAGATGATACATTGAGTAAAATGTTTTTAGACACAACCTTTCCAATGATGTTTATTTTTTTCCATATTTCACTTTAATAATACAATGATAATAGCAGAGGTGAACTTCACTAGCCTACTTACTTGCTAGTAACAGAACATAAAGGTGGAACCGAAAACGAAAGGTACGAAAATAGATTGATTATATGAAGATCGTAGAGAATTGTATAGAAGTGTATACTCACTGTGCTCCAAGATATATATGTATATGTGCGTATGTATATGATGTATTACACTTTAGGCAAGAGTCATCTCATGCGTAACATGTTTTTCTATATGTCTACTTTATTGAGGATACAATCTTACATTGAAATACTCAAGAATATTTCCGGTACATTATATCCAGATTACTTGAAATTATTATATATAATATATAATAATTATGTATAATAATTTACCGTT